CCATCCCCAACCAAATCTTCTTTCCTCTAGGCTAAACATCTCCAGTTCCATCAAGCTTTCTTCCATCGAGGACATACTGATTTTGAAAAACTAGCAGGAGATCAAGGTAGAGATAATAAAATTATAGATTAAGAACTATAGGTAATGTGCTCCAAGCCCTTCGTTTTATAAATGAGAAAACTGAGTCCTAGTGAATAACTAACTACTCACATAGTAAGTAGCAAGATAAGGGTCAGAAGCATGCAAATCCAACACTCTTTATAAGGTATAGTAAGACATTCTGAAGGTAACTAGAGATGCAGGCCTGGAGCTCAGGAGAAAGACCAGGTCTGGTATAGAGGTATGGGAGTCATCTGTGTAAAAGTGATAGCTGAAGCTGAGTGAGTGAATGAGATTCCTAATGCAGAGTACGTAGAGAAATGAAGGACAGAGTACTTGACCCAAGACTCAAGGAAGAAAGAAACAGGGAAGAAAGAATATCCTAGAGGCAGAATGAAGGGTTCATTCATTGTTAGTTATCTAGTACTTATTAAGCACCTACTATGTGCCAGGCAGTGGGCACATGGACAAAGGGCAGTTAGGTGGCACAGTGGATAGAGCGTTGGGCCTGGAATCCGGAAGACCTGGCTTCAGACACTAGCCATGTGACCCTGGGCAAGTCATTTAACCCTGTTTGCCTTAGTTTCCTCATCTATAAAATGAGCTGGAGAAGGAAATGGCAAGTCATTCCAGTATCTTTGCTAAGAAAATCCTTAAAGGGGTCATGAAGAGTCAGATAAGACTGAAATGAATGTACAACATGTGCCAGACATTGTACTACTTGGATAACTGCATAAAGTCGTATCACTACACAGCCAAAAATACAAAAAGAAGCCAAAGACAGTCTCTGCCCTCAAGGAATTCATAATCTCATGGAAAAGACAATATGCAAACAACTATGTACAAATGAGATACAGATAAACTGGAGATAATGTCAGTGGGAAGGCACTAAAATTACGGACTGGGAAAAACTTTGTGCAGAAGGACTTTGCTAAAACCTGAAAAAAGCCAGAAAAACTGGGAGATGGAAATGAGGAGGTAGAGTTCCAAGCATGGTAGACAGCCAATGAAAACCCTGGGTGACATAACAGTACATTTTTGTCCTGAAGATGTATGAACCCATAGTTCAGGTAGTTAGCTAGAAGAGAACTTGGAGGTCCAAGCCACTTATTTAATAGATGATGAAACTTAGGTGTAAGTTGGTTAAGTGACATCCTGGGTCAAATAGGGTCAGTAGAGTCAGCATTTGAACCCAAATCTTTTAGCTCCAAAATTAGAGTTAGGCCAAAATAGAAATCTTTCTGTTGGGGGTGGGAGAAGGTAATGATGTTAACTTGAAGTTTATGCTATCCAAAGAGGAGAAAGTCGGTCGTAATTAGACACATTCTCTGACCCTTCCGGGAAGTTAAACTTTAAAAAAGTCTTAGAAAGAATAAGTAGCACTCCTAGCCACACACTCCAAAAGGATTAATGATTCATGAGCTCTCAATAATGAAATTCTGTTACCACACCCTTGTTATCACCCAGTGAGAATAAATTACTTTGGTGTAGAACTTGGGCAACGGATGGGATGGCCCTAGTTACCCTGGCACTCCTACTACCATGTTGAGGCCAAGTTGATAGTATCAGCGAAGGTTAGGTGTGGAAGGAATAAGTCTCTTGGGAGTTGGATGGCTTTTTGTGAGTAGTAGCAATGGGGTCAATCATTTCAAAGTCTCCTAGATAAGGTAGGGGCAGGGAGTGATGGAGGGCAAAGGACGAGGAAAGGCCAAGAAGAGAGGTGGGCACAGGGGAGAACAAGAGAGATCTGCTAGCATAGGGTGGATAGAACAGGATTTGTACCAGGAGTCCCAAGGCTTGGGATAAAGGAAGGAACAGTGCATAAGCTTGGCCTACTCTAATCCATCTCCACCTGGCTTTCCCATCAGTATCTTAAAGTCAACATGTCCAAAGATTAGCTTATTCTCTTTCCCCCTAAATATATGCTCTTCTCTCCAACTTCACCCCATTTCTGTCTATGGCTCAGCATTTTTGTCTCCTCACTCTCCCTCATCTACAATACACAAACCACTTACCAAGTCCCGTGACTTTCTAACTGTACATCTCTCATCTCTATCAGCTGCTCCCTTTTCCAAATGCCAAACTCTAGTTAAAGCCTACCTGGTGACCTGAATGCAAGAATCTCCTGACAGGTCCCCTTCCCACCCCCACCCCCACTCCCCATTTCAATCTCTCCTTCCAAACTAATCTTCCTTAGACAGAGAACTACTACTCTATTAATTCAAGTTTGCCTTCCTTGACCTGGTATTCAAAGACCTCCATAATGTAATGCCCTATCTTTCCCCTCTTATTATATATTGTTGACATACACACAAGAAAACACCCTGACATCCTAGTTGGCTGCTGCCTGGGAGATTCTGAGACTTGAATAGTGGTGCTTGATTAGGAAACGCTAATTTTGATTAGCCATCTCTTCCCTTACTTCTTTAATTGTGGATTTCTAGTAATGGACAACTTCCGACTGTCTACTCCTCCCCACCCCCACCCCCAGCAAATATGTCACATTATGACTTTGTGCCTTGTTTATACTGTTCCCTAGGACTAGAATATCTTCTCTTCACCCTTCCCTGACCCCTCCCATTTTATCACTTCTGTTCTTAATTGCCTTTTAAAGTCCAGTTTTCTTCAGATAGTTTTTCTTTCCTTGTTGGATTCCTCTCAACACCCGCTTTAATACCTCACATGGTACTTTTATCAGTCTCTAAGCTATATGCACACTCTACTCATCCTTTAAAGGCAAGGGCCATATCTCATCTAAACTCTGTATGTGATTTGCACAGCTGGTATGTGATTAAGAAAACCGTTTGCTACATTAGTATACTGTATTGCTCCAACCTACGAGAGGAAAGGATCTTAGTCTTAAAGAGGAGACGCTGAGACAGTCCAAGTCTTGACAAGGCTCTATTGTTAGGGTGAAATTCCTCTGGAACAGAACATGTGCAAGGCCCAGACACCGACAGCCTTCTGATACCCTCCCCACCTTCCAATGCCCACAATGCTTGAAAAACAAATCAACACATTTCCCCCCCCACCCCCCCCACACACACAGCCCACTGCAAGCCCTCTGATGCATTGCTTCACTTTAAAATTTTATCCAGTGTAGAAGTAAAGGAGTCAGGAGGGATAGGAAACAAGAGATATGCGCAAATATAAAAACAAAGATCAAGAGTAGAATTTGTTTGGGAAAGTACATGTCTATATATGTGAGTATATATATATATGTATATGTATATGTATATAGCTATGGAGAAATATATCCACACTCAATGCGTTGGGGGGGTGGGGAGGGAAAAAAAGAACAAAGTTAAAAAAGTGCACAGCAGAGAACAAAAGAAAACTTACAAAGAAGCAAAGAAAAGATGGAAAACTCTCAACACAATGTGTAGTATTTATCATACAGACTTTCTTGAAATGAAAATTTATCATTACATATTTTGAATCCTTTCTTATGTTCTGCTATGCACATGACATGCTTTTTTTTCTTTTCTTACTTTGTAATTAAGTTCCAATATTTAAGTTTATGATATATTTTTTCTTTTTCTTTTCTCTATTCTGTATTTGTGTTCTGGTGTTTGAGTCTAACATAAATAAATAAATAAAATTTTCTCCAGTAATGCCTTAGCAAGGCTGAAGAAGAAGGAAATCTTCCTCAGTTGTGCCAAGAGCCTATAAAGGTTCCACATGCCCATAACAAATATCCATTAAACACCTAATATATACTGAATATGGTGCAGGGTAGGTGTGGAAATAAGCCTAGGTTTCTGACCTTATGGATTCTAGTAGAAAGAAAGAGGAGAACTGTAATACTAGCTATCACAAGATTAGTACATGTTGTTATTCAGTCATGTCCAACTCTTCATGACCACATTTGGGCTTTTCTTGGCAAAGATACTGAAGTGATTTGCCATTTCTTTCTCCAGCTCATTTTACAGATGAGGAAACTAAGGCAAACAGGGTTAAGTGACTTGCTCAGGGTCACACAGCTAGTAAGTGTCTAAGGCCAGATTTGAACTCTGGAATATGAGTCTTCCTGGTTCTAGGCTTCTTGCTGCCTTAGTGCATTAGAGAGTTACAAGGCAAAGATCTGTGTAAGGTCAGAAGGGGAAAGGTAAAAACCAAAGGGGAGATGGGGGAGATTTCCCAGAGGGCCAATAATTTAAGTTGGATTTCTAAAAAGAAGAAAAGTTGGTTCAGACTATACGAGCAGCATGGTATAGTGGACAGAGTCGATTTTGGAGTCAGGAAGACCTTGGGTTCAAGGCCTGTTTCTGACATTTGGTGGTTGTGTGATCCTGAGAAGGTAGCAGCAGCCTCTTACTATCCCAGGCACCTCAATAAGACTCATTTCTATAACAAGATAGCTACTGAATCAGCGGTGGCAGAGGGATCTGCCTCACACCTACTTATCGCTGAAATCACAGGTCCAGATTAGACCAGAATGAAATTTAATAGAGATACATGCCAAGTCCCACATATAAATCTTTCTGGGGGCTTCTTATGGCATTTCCTCTTCCACATTTTAGCTTGCGCTGCTGAGCCTCAGAAGGTACCTTTGCTACTCCATCCCAGTGGCCATAGCTGGGAGCCAGAGAGCTGGGATCCCAGCCCTGTAAGCACGTTCCTTCCCCTCTCTGGGCCTCTCTTTCTCCCTCTCTAAAAAAGGGGCCTGAATGGACTGCTTTCTGTTTCTGCTTCTTCGAACAGCCGTAACATCCCAACAGAACAGCATGAGACAGAACTCGCTGGTCTCCAATCCGACCAAATCTGTGAGTGCCTCCGCCCCGCCCGCCCCCCCAGCTCGAGCCTGAGGTCCCTCTGAAGACAGGCCCAGCCAGCCCGCTCCTGGCCCAAGGTACCAGCCTCCCCTTCTCCCCTACTCCCGCCTCCCTCCGGCTCCGCACCATAGCATTGGAACAGTTGAGCAAGGAGACGACCAGAAGGAAGAACCATCGCCGCTTGTAGGTCCGGTAGCGGGTCAGTTCGCTCAGAGCACTGGGCTTTGCGCTCCCCACAATGGGGGTCTCCGAGGTGCCAGGGGCTGCGGCGTCCGGCATCCCGTCGGGAAGAAGTGGCTTAGCAGGGAGCCTCCTCCCGCGCCCTGTGGCATGAACTCGGCGGCGGCGCGGAGCTAGTCTGGCCGGAGGATCTCACGTCACAGCCCACGGGCGGCCTTCGGCTCCACCCGGGGTCGCCTGTTTATTGCTTTGCGAGCGTCCACCGCTCGGCCCCAGCCTTCAGCCTTCATGCCACACGCGGGTGTCTCCTTCCCAGCGTGACGCAACCCAGCCGCCACCGAAACAACCCGACCAACGCCGGTTGGGGAGGCGGGGATCTGGAAGGGAGGAGGGGGGGCGCCCAGAGAAGTGAAACAGCAGGCGGGATCACGTAGTGCAGGGGAAGGGTGGATCCAGTGGCAAGTGCGGGCGCACCTGGAGCGCTGGGGCATCTGAAAAGTCTGTTTTGGGATCGCAGATCTCGAGCCATCCAGTTCTGGCTATTCGTGAGCCTCATTTCCTTCTAGGGTCAGTATGTCCGGTCTCTGCCCAGCGATGAGAGCCTAAGTTAGAGCCATGAGTGCCCAGGGAAGTCCCAGGGAAGGTCATTTTGTAACTAGAGCTTCACAGAGAGAAACAGTTTGTAACTGGGAAATCACGGGGAGGGACGCTTTGTAACCACTTGTTGTGTCTGTCAACTAGTGTTCATTAAACCCTTTCTATGTGCCAGACACTGTGCTAAGTATTGGAGATACAAAGAAAGGCCAAAAGCAGTCCCGCTCTCAAAGAGCTCATAACATAATGGGAGACAATTCAGTTACCTCTAACCTAGTCTTACCCTTCATTGTCTATTACCTCCCAATCGCTCCCAACCACTTCCCGCCCTTAATCTAGACCCCTTCTCTGTCCCCACAGTTGCCTCCATTAAAGTGCTCAGCTTCCATGAGAGTCTGGCCAATGCTCAGATTACTTAAGAGTCTGGCCAGTGCTGAAATTCCTTAATATCTTGCCCACCTCTATCGGTGTGCTAATAAACCTTGTCTTTGGCTTAAAAAAAAATAATATAATGGGAGAGACAACATGTAAATAAGTAGGTATGTAAAGGGATTAACTGGAAATAATGTCAGAGAAAAGATCAAGGCCTAGAAAAGCTTCTTGCAGAAAATAGGACTTTGAGACATGAAGGAGTCTGGGAAAGCCAGAAGTTGGAGATGAGGAGGGAGAGTATTCCAGGAACGGGAAGCAGCTGGTGAAAATGCCTGGAGTTGGGGTGTAGTGTGCCAGGAGTCCAGTGTCACTGGATCGAAGAGCATGCAGAGCCATAGGAGGGAGTACGGTGTAAGAAGACTGGAAAGGTAGAAAGGGGCCAGGTTATGGAGGGCTTTAAAGGCCAAACAAGCCTAACTTTTGTCCCAAAGTGCTTTGATTTGAGACTCTTCTTAGTGGACTCCACGCTATGCTCATGGAGAGTCCAGAGGGAGGAATCCTGTTTGAAGTCAGTCCCTCCAAAGGAGGGGCTCAAAGGGGACTGGAGAAGGCTGAAGCTCTCGCCTCTAGACAACTTGGATCTGGGGCTTTGGAACAAGGTTTATGCTGAATTTTAGAGACAGATGTTAAGTATGACTTGGTATGGGCATCTCCCTGCAATTCATCTTTCTTTTTTAGATTTAAAATGAGGTAGTGATATTGGAATTGTCCCTTTCCACCCAATCCCACTGGTCCTGTTGTGATCTGACTGGTGACATGAGCAGGAAAGAGCCACCTGGGGACTCCTATCTATTCAAATTGGATTGTGCAATTGAGTGGGGCTAGCATTGAGGTTTAGGGGTTCAGGGGTGCTGGGACCTCAAAATCACAACAGTGGGTTCTGCTCGAATGAATTCCACCCAAGCCTTCTTTCAGCCAAAGACAAGGTTTATTAGAACATTTGTCATATTGAGAATTTGAGCTCATGGCTAGATTTTAAGAATCTGAGCACCTTAATGGAGACAAGATGGACCTTATATACAGAAAGCCTGAGGGGGGATCCAGGAGCGGCCAAGTAGTCTGGGGTGACTGGAGAATCTGGATGGGAGTGGCCAGTAAACTGAGGTGAGCAGAATACCAGGGCCCTGAACCACGTGGCCAAGGGAGAATGGAATCTACATAGGATTAAGAGTAGGAAGTGGCCAGGGCAATTGGGAGATAACAGAATGGAATTGGGAGATTGGGCATAGCCACAATGAAAGGCCAGTTGATAGGATAATAGCCTCAGGTGAAAGCCAGAGATTTGGCAATGTGGGAAAATCCAGGGTTTTTCCTTTTTGGGGTCCAGATCCCAAAGACATGGTCTTTTCCTTTCAGGGGTTCAGATCCCATCCCCATAACGAGCACAGTAGGCAGACTGCCTTATATTTATTTGGTCCAGTTCGGTTGGTTCAGATCACCTCTGTTTTGAACATGAATCACAGAATCAGAATCATGAAGTTGGAAAGGATCTCAGAGGCCATTCGGACCAAGCTATAGTGAAAAAGGAATTCCCTTTAAGGCACACCTGCCTATCAAACATCCAGCCTCAAAGACCTCAAGTGTGGGAGGAGGACCCACTTTTAGGAAACAAACTGTTCCGCTTTTAGATAGTTAGGAAGTTTTCCCTTATGTAAACTCCAAATTTGCTCCTTTGCCACTTAAGGCCACTGTTCTCAGTCCTACATTTTGGGATCGAGCAAAATAAATCTATTTCCTCTTCTCTGAGATGCCTTTATGTCTATGAAGATAACTATCATTTCTCTTCCTCCCCCACTCCCCCCTCCAGTCTTCTCTTCTCCAGGCTAAATGGGGGGAGGGGGCAGCAGGCAGTAATCAATACCACTGACTGTACATTATTAAATAATGCCTTTGCCTTTCCCTGGTCTCCCCTCACTCCCTCCCCATGCAAAGTGCTTTCCCTCTGAGATTCCTTCCCTTTACCCTGGAGAAAGAGATATAGAGATAGAGACCCACACAGAGACAGACAGACAGATAAATACAGACAGAGACACACAGAAAGAGAGAGAGGTACATGCACCTTGTACAGATGTAGTCATTTGCACGTTGTCTCCCCAGTTAGAATGCAGTCTCCTTGAGGGAAGGGACTATTTTTTTTTTTTTGGCATTTCTTTATAGCCCCAACATTTAGCATTGTACCTAGCACAGAGCTAAGTGCTTAGTAAGTACTGTTGACTTGACTTATTGACTAGTACCTTACCCCCACCTCGTGTTGAGAAGTGAAACAGTTACAAGCATAATGATGTAAGAGCTACAGATTTGGGTGCAAAGGAAGGAACATAGGAGAAGCCTAGCTAGCTCCAGAGTGGCAGGATTGGGGACAAAAGTGAGTCTAGGTGACCTGACCCCAACTGATTGATTTGCCTGGCCCAAAGTCAGTTGGGGTTCCTCCCTCCCCAAAGTGGGCCTACACAATGAACAAGTCGAGCAGGTCTTCTGGGGGAAGGCCAAAACGCACCAGGCAGTGGAAATATGGATAGTTCTGGCTCCTTACACGTCTGATCTAAAACTTGTGTAAGTCACCAACAACGGGTAGAGTTTTTGTGAAAACCCTGTGCCTACTTAGGAAAGAGCACCAGAACTTTATCAGTGGCCCTTCAGGGTCAGGGTCAGGTAAAATCATGACACTGTAGTCCTTTTATAACAAGTACTGCCTCCATCACATTAATTCATTAGGAAATAGAGTTGTTGTTTTCCTACTGAAACAACCTGAAAATCTGCTGCTGTTCACTCCTGAGTCACTGAGGCTTGAAATTCCAGAGCCACAGTCTCAGGCTCCCAGAGCAAGAAAGCACTTCAAATGTGGTTTGGCTCAGAAAGCTACCTTTCCATCCCCCAGGCATCAGAACTGGGTTAATATTTTAGCTTTCAAGGAGGCTGCAGAACATTGGTTCCAACTTCAGCTAATGACCAAATGTCAGGGGATCTAGGGAAAGTTCCTTTGGAAAAGTATATAAACAGTTGAGCGAACCAAGGCAAGGCAGTTCTTGGGCCCTTTCAGGAAGCCCTGGAAGCCAGTAGCCCTTCCTTTTACCCCACTCATCCCTGCTACCTCCATCCTAGGTGAAAGGGATCTCAAAGTCATGTCCTTGAGGCAATGTCATCCAGGGCCAAAGATGTCTCAAGTTATCCTGAAAATGAAAGATGCATGAGACAGTTAGTATAAAGTGGACTGATCCCTCCCACTTTGTGGAGACATCTCTGTAAAATCACCAACAACCTACTCACTAAATCCAATGGCCTTTTTTTCAATCCATTGTCAACTACTACCCTCTTTCAATTTCCAGATCTGTGACCTGTGACTTGAAATTTTGGCCCTTCTGAAGTACTTATGTATTTCAAAGGTACTCTTGAAAATTATGCAAATGTTCTCTGGGTTTTGTGATTAGAAAAATTTTCACATTCAAAACCATTTCTCCCTCCCTGCTATGATTAAATGAATAATATATATTTTTAAAATGTCTTTAATGAATGGGGACTGTGTTCAAAGTTACTCTCACATAGCCTAGACCTGTCAGGAACTCTCACTCTTTCTTTGGACTGGCTTGTTCAGTTTTGTAGAGAGGAAGTCACACTGCTACAGCTCTGTATTTTCTCAATATTGAGGGAGGGGGAAGAAGGGGGGGTGGGGCCAAGGTTGGGATACACTGCTATTATTCATGACTACTTTCTCATCTCCCACTGGTGTGTTTCTAATTTACACAAAATTGAACAATGTGACACTATTAACTTTTTTAAAAAAAAATACATTCCATAGTAATTTTCCTTAAATTTTTAACTTTTATTTTCAGTTCCAAATTCTCTCCCTCCCTCCAGACCCTCCCTCACCCATTGAGAAGGCAAAAAGATATGATACTTATTATACATATGAAGTCATGAAAAGTATATAAACCATGTTGCAAAAAAAGAAAAAAAAGCAAGAAAAATAAAGAAAGTGAAAAAAATATGCTTCAATCTGCCCTCAGAATTCATCAATTCTCTTTCTGGAAGTGAATAGTATTTTTCATAATGGGTCCTTTGGAATCATCATTGGTCATTGTATTTGATCAGAGTAGCTAAGTCTTTTAAAGTTGGTTGTCATTACAATATTGCTGCTACTGTATACAATGTTCTCCTATTTCTATTCACTTTGCTTTGCATTGATTCATAGAAGTCTTCCTGAGTTTTTCTGAAACTGTCCCTTATGCCATTTCTTATGGCACAATAGTATTCCATCACAATCATATGTCACAACTTGTTCTT